ATGATGAAGCCTGAGATGAATGATGAGCTAGTGATGGATTCTGAGATCATCTGCTATCTTGTGGAAAGATTTTTGTTGAAGACTGATGCTATAATTCCCTTTGCTACCCAGTTAAACCTCCATCTGCTCCAAGAAGTTGTTCTGTCCCTTTCTGTGCTCTGAGGACAAATAGATAATCTGCGCTGTGGAGATCGTCGTGTCTCCATTTTGTGCATCTTGGTATTCTGAATTAAAGAAGATAAAGATCCCAACGTTCAAGTTAAATTGAGTGTAACTTTCAGTATGAAAACTTCATTTCTGTGAAGCGTAGTAAGTTGAGCATAGCTGTGCGTGAGATACTGAAAGTTGGGTACGCGGTAAGTCTTCTCTAATTTGATGTGACTGACAGCATTTCATTATGAAGTTTCTTGAACCCTTTTGTGACAAAACCTAGACTAGTTTGTTCTGTAGGTATGACTGAGTAGATCTACGTAGAGACTAACTTAGGTAAGATGCTAGGCTTGTGGTAGGAGTGGATTAGATGCTGCCAGCTGTTAAGTGTTTAATAATTAAGCAAAGTACATAAGCAGATGTTTTAATGGAAAAAGATGGGTTAAAGAAACTATGCATCTAAAATTCTAACAGAACGGAGAATTGCAACTCTTCAGTAGTTGTTGTTCTTGACCCAGTCAAACTGTTTACTGATTGCTTGTGCAGACAATTTTGAGTATTGAGAAATTCTTCCTGTTGAGATAAACTGCACTGTGCTGCCAGTGGCTGTCATCGTGGAGACGCCATGTTAGAGGGCAGCTGCAGAATTGAGCTTGCACAATGCCTTGCTTGTGGAGCTGTTGTTTGACTTGCTCACTGGCCAGTTGCATCATTTCTATCTCCTGGGTTTGGGGGGGAAGTTGGCTGCAGATGAGAATTTCATCTGGGCTTTCCCTCTGCCTATTGCAAGGAGAGTAAGGATGTGGGATGGGGATGGCAGGCAGGTGGTGGTGCACCGAAGAGAGGGCATGGCCTCTTTGGGGAGGCCAGCTGTTCATGAGCCCACCCATGCTCAGTTACTCATCTTCTTGGTAAACTGCCTAGTGTTGTAAAGCTTGAATTCTAAGGATAGATTAAATACCACAGCTCTTGTCCAAGAAGTAAAAACATGAGTAAAAACTCAGTTTGGCAATTGTTTTGCCTTGACAATTGCAATGGCATTTGAAACTGCTGTGCTATGACTGCAGTAGTCAGTGTTTATGGGACGTTCTGCTTTATGTAGTGAGTGGTATTTCTGAGTGAGAACGGAAATAAAACAGCTTTATTTTTTGAAATGGCTTTCTGTCTGAAGACCTGTTCCTCCTCTGTTTTGAGAGTGGAAAAAACTTTTCTTTACCACTCCCACATAATATCATAAATAACGAATTGTGTATGCAAATTCCCTTTGGGTACTTCTGGACGACTTGAGTAGAGCTTTCTGCCACCTGGGACTTGTATTCTAAACACTTGTAAAACCCATTCCTCCCAACGCTTACCTTCTGTCCTGTTCCTCCAGGGAGAGGGAGAGTCAGTAAACTTGGAGGATTTTACTTACAACTCCTCTGCCATAGAGTATCTGGTGCTTCGAGTTACCATAGCAAGTACAGCTGGAGGAGTCATCCTGTTGCCCTCACCCAGTGTTGCCCTTATTTGATTCATTTATTTCTTTGTCGTCATTTTGAGCTCTCTGATTCTGAACAGAGTCAAAAGGTTAAACCATAATCTTCTCCAGTAGGATTCTGCAAATGCTTTTCCATCTTGGAATCACAGGTCTCCATCAATTTAGTGAACCACTTCCAGCAGACTTTGCCTTGCTTCTGCTCATGACACTTCTCCTTTTGGTCTCAACAGATGTTTATTTTCCTAAAACTTGAGGACAGTGGATAAACTAAAAGTACCAGCATGGAGGATGCTACAAAGAAAAGCTTAGCAAACTAAAAAACATTTGGGGTTTGTTCCAAATGAGGGCATGCTAGAACTGAGCCTTTTTTGAGGTATGCACCCTTGAGTAATTAATTAATCAAATCTTTGCTTCTGGTGTTAGGCGCTCTCATCCTTTTAGGCTGAAGTGTGCTAGTGGTGTATGCACACCTAGACTGCAGTGTCTCCCTGTGTCCTCCTCCCTGCAGTGCTCCAAGATGGAGTTAGCACATCAGTAAATGCAGTTGGGTGCAGTTCCTTGGCCCCTGCCTCACAGACATTATGTTTATGTTGTAATTCTCTCTGATAATGTTGCCTGATCATTCTGGGGAAAGAGGTGATAGGAGCTAAATTGTCAACTTAATTTTCCTCTCTGTCCATGAGCATAGGTCAAAGGCCTGGAATAAAACCTGTGGGACAAAGTTCAAGCCAAGCTGTTGTTTACGTGGTCATGTGTGCTTCTTGGGCATGGGCTGAGACAAGGCAGTGGGGTGTTAATGACTTAGGTTTAAAATTTCTTGTGTCCCCTTTGGAAGCCTTGCTTTAGTGGGATACTGTCTCATGCACTTATTCTAAGGGGGTATGTGGCTGAATCCAAGGCTGGAGAGCTTCTCTGTGGCTTATCTAGGAAAGCAGGCATCCTCTTGTGATCCCAAACACAGCACTACTGGAAGGCTTGTTACAAAGCTTGGAGGAATTTAGGAGCAGAGTGTTGGAACGCTGGTTTTGTCTGTTTTTGTTTCCTCCTCTTTCACTTTTAGGAGGAAAGCAGTAATTAATACAGCTGGATGTTAAATGCAGCATTTTCTGTTGGCTCCGACTTCTTTTTAGTACTCAGTTTCCAGACTTAGCACAGACAGACAGTAGTAGTCAAGTCTTTCAGTTAGTTTAGGATCCTTCTTAGGAGGAAAAATGTTCAGTGATGATCTGTGCTTAACTTATATATCTTCAAGATAAGAAGAGCTAACAGCCTAATATAGGAATAGTTAACTTAGTTTTAAAATGGAGTGCTTAATGTGCTGGTATTGGCAAAGAGTCTGGAATCATGAACTCTGGGTAGCAACTTCATAAGCTTATAGCTGAAGAAGAAATAGCCTGTAAGTTCATTCACTCTCTAAGTGGTGTCCAAAATACACAGTTTCAGCAAGTTGCTGGGATGCATAGTCTCAGTTCTAAGTCTGTCCTTACTAGGATGATTGCAGATGTGCATGGTTGCTTTCTCCCCCGCCTCTCCTTGCTGGAGCAACAATTTAAAGTGCAATGTTCTCTGTAAACTCATGCACAGTGAGAATGACACCTTTAGTTGCGCTGTTAGATGTATCAGAAAATGGTGTCTAAGAACTTAAAAGGTTGTGTGCTGGTTGGTCTTTTTGGGGTTTGTCTGGGTTTTTTAGCATTGTATCTTGAATAAACTGGCATGATTGATACGAGACAGCAAAGGGATAAGCATGGCAGAGCTGGGCAGTGATGTTAAAATAAACCAAGCAGTGAGTTGATGAAGGTTATGGCTGTTGGAAAATCCTCAAATGGTGATGCTTGTGTAACATTTTCTTTCTTCCTCCTGGAGAAGTAAATCCTGGAAGTGTTGTAGTTAATGAACAAATTGACTGCACGTGTAATTATAAATATTAAGCCGAACTTCCCTGGCATCACTTTCATCCTTGTACTTTGTCTGACTTGCAATCTTTTCAGAATGTCTTTAACAAAATGACTTGCTAAGTATGCTGATAATAATAAAAAGTCAAATATGAACAGGTCAAGAGCCTTGTATGATGAAGCAAGAATGGGGGGGTTGGAAGTGGAAAACTGTTTTTTAGTATCTCCTGAAGGAATGCTTAGGAAAGAACTCTTTCTACAGCAAAGTATAAACATAGCATGGTCTAAGCACTGCAAATGGGCAGTCTTTATCCAAAGCAATTAATTCTTGAAAATAGTTTTACTATAAACTAGTTCATCCACAGCATTGGTTACGTATGATGTCATTGAAAGGCTTCTACTGAGTAGGATGGTCTTGAGTCTAGATTTTTACTTGAGGTCCTATTTTGTTTGTGCTTCTTGCCAATGAGAAGAGTACAAAGGAGCATGAAGAGTATGCTCATGTCCAAAAGCAGCTAATGCACTTGGCAATCTTTGTAAGAGTATATTTGTCCAGTAAATGTAATGTGATAGGATCTAGTAGATTCCCAAATGTAGAAGGTGTGCTGTAATGGAAATCGTGTTAAGACTGTGTTGTGTTAAGTCTTCAGCTGCAGAGGTTTAAAGGTGCTTTTTATGGTCAAGGTATGCAATTCACTTTTACCGTCTTGTAAAATCTTTCAAGACTAAATTAGTTTTCATTTTTTTCTATCTGCTACTAAGTGTAACATTTTGCATTACTCTTTATTGGGGGGTTTATGATCAGATCAGCATAACTGAAATTGGGAACGCTAAGTTGTCTGCAAAAGTAGCAGTTAAATTGCTTTCAAAAGAAAAAATCCAATGATGCCCCCTCAATCACTATGCTTAAAATACAGCATCCACCAGTCTGTAGTAGTGTGGCATCAAGAGGATTAATAGAAGAGGAAAGTATATTGATCTCAAGAATTTTGAGATTATCCTTTTGTCATGGGAAAGATGTCCAATCTCCTAGTCAAACCAAATTTGGCTAATTCTATTCCAGTTCCTAGTTTTCTGTGCAATGACTGAAAATTATTTCTAGTTTTCCTTGCTTCTTGACAGAAAAACCTTCCAAGTGTAACAGTTTGTTAAATTTAGTTTTATGAGGATTGGACACTGCTACTTTTAGATTTGTTCTAAACTGGAGGAGGCGCTTAAATTATGCTATGTTAAAACAAAAGCAGAACGTGTGCCGAGTAGCTCTTGCACTATTTTTTATATGTTCAGGAGACCCAGTTACTAGGAATAGGCACTTAATTTAAAAATAGGTCAGTTGTCATGTATAGATGCTTAAATGAACCATACAAAGCTTGTATTGGCTCTTATAAAAACACTGGTGTATCTGCTAGTAAATGTAAAGTGGTAACAGCCTGAAGACTTGTTTCAATACAAATTATCCTTTCCTTGCTTTACAGGAAAATCTTCACTGACGATTCAGTTTGTGGAAGGACAGTTTGTTGATTCATATGATCCAACCATAGAGAACAGTAAGTAAATAACTGACAAGCTGCTCTTCTGTACCTAACTAACTTTTATTAGCAGCCATTGTGGTTATACGCATTACTTATGTGGACATTAACATTAAAGCTCATTAATTAACTGTTAAGTTTTAATACTCTTTTAAACCAATGCTTACCAAGCTTACAGTATCGCAGCATGGAAATCACTGTATGCATATTTCTCCAAACAGCTAAACTGTCTTTTAACACTAAATGAAGGAAAACCTAATCAATCTGCCTAAAAGGCATCTCCTTCTTGTATTATATGTATGTTGTTGGACATCTGCTTCCCCTAATGTAGTCAGAGCACTTCAGATTAAGTATGACATACCTATATGAAAATGTGCCACTATATACAAGTATTCCAAAGTCTCAAATGTCTTATTTGATCAGTATATCCAGATGAACACAAAGCCAGCAATACCAGTCAGGAGCAAATGACTACCTTAGAAGGTAGACATGCTGTGGCCATGATAACATGATAGTCTTCTAAATTACTCACTTCCAACTGCTTGATAACAAGCGTGGTACACAATCAGCTTGCTGCAAATACTGGGTTACTGACTTCTCAAGTGTCTTTTTTTTTTTCTCTTAGTATTTTTTTTTAATATTAGTGCCTTTGTGAATAGCTAGCACAGTGGGTAAGTAAGGATACTAATACCAAAAAAGCTGCCAAGAGCAACAAGTCACTTCAGAGGTGAGTTACCCGGTATTTGTTACAATCCAACCACCTCTTTCTGAGCTAGCAGTGGTCATAAAGTACTTGAGCAGCTGAGGTGCTGGGCTGAGTAACTTGATCGTATTGGCTCCCTTTAATTATGTGGCAAATAAAACTTGGATTTCGTGATTGTAACCCTGGAGTTTTTGTATTTTAATGACTTCTGAAATGCAGTGGTAGCACACATTTTTACTGTTTCGAACTCGTGCGGTAGGATGTTAAACCTATGTGATACTCTGGAATTTTGAATGAAGTAATCAGTAGAACACGGTTTCTTTTGGATATATATAGTAATAATTACAAATCAGTAGCTATCAGGATAGTTTACTCAGGATTATTTTATTGCTTAGAACTAAAATTCAAATGCTACTTCTTGAAGAAGCTCTAAATTTGCTTTAGTGAGTTAGGGTGGATAATTTGCCCCTTCACCTGAATGATCTGTTAGTCCTTATACAGATGTCATTAATTCAAAACAAACCTTATTTATAATTCTAACAAAGTAAAAAGGGATGATGGAAAGTGTTAATATTAAAGTTACTAACAAAGTATTGGGGATTAAGTTTCTGTATTTTAAATCTTAATATCAGTTGGGACAGGTTATTTTTCACTGTGCTATATAAATGCAAAGAGTTTAAAGTAATCTTTTAGTTTTATGTAGGTATATGGGAGTGAATAAAGCTTGAGAGGCATGGGGTCAAAGTCTCTCCAAAATGCTGAGTCTGTATCTTGTTTTAGGATTTTGACACCTTGGTACAAGGTTGGCTTGTTTCATCCTTTACAAGCTCTTGTCGTCCACAGAAACCTATTGTCTGTAACTGCTGTTAGTAACTCTGTAGTTGTATGTATCGCACTGGTAGCATTTCTTAACTACATGAAAATACACTCTGGATGAATTCTGCACTTACTTAACTCTTGTAGTCTGCACTGCTTGCATGATCTGCACTCTAAACATTGAGCATGTCATGGCCATGAAAACTTTGTTGGGCAGAGGCATCTTGAAAAGGCTTAACTTTTAACTTGATTTCTTATTTGTTTGGAAAATAAACAGCATTATTCATTTGGTGAAAGTCTTGTGATCTGCGGCATGGCTGGAGGAATTTGCTTTCTGAAAGGTGGAGAATTGAAGGGCCCTTCTTTGATCAGAACACGTTGCTGGGAAAGTAAGGGTTGAAAACATAAAAGATGTGCCCTGACATTCAAAACAGTAGGAAGTCTGTCCCATTCTTAAGCCCTTGTGCTGGTTTTGGCTCAGATAGAGTTAATTTTCTTCACAGAAGCTAGTATGGGGCTATGTTTTGGGTTTGTGCTGAAAACAGTGTTGATGTTTTCGTTATTGCTGAGCAGTGCTGACACAGAGTCAAGGCCTTTTCTGCTTCTCACCCCACCCGCGAGCAGGCTGGGGGTGCACAAGAAGTTGGGAGGGGACACAGCTGGGACAGCTGACCCCAACTGACCCAAGGGATATTCCACACCATATGACGTCATGCTCAGCATATAAAGCTGGGGGAAGAAGAAGGAAGGGGGGACATTTGGAGAGATGGTGTTTGTCTTCCCAAGTAACCGTTACGCGTAATGGAGCCCTGCTGTCCTGGGGATGGCTGAACACCTGCCTGCCGATGGGAAGGAGTGAATGAATTCCTTGTTTTGCTTTGCTTGTGTGTGTGGTTTTTCCTTTACCTATTAAACTGTCTTTATCTCAACCCACAGGTTTTCTCACTTTTACCCTTCCAGTTCTCTCCCCTATCCCACCAGGGGGGAGTGAGTGAGCGGCTGTGTGGTGCTTAGCTGCTGGCTGGTCTTAAACCATGACAGCCCTGTAAGACCTGATAGAGAGAATGTTTTAAAATGTTTCTGTGAAAAACGGAAGAGAGAACACTTTCAAACTTACCACTAAAATTTAAAATATATTGAAGGTATCTTTTTTTTAAGACAGACATGTGAAACTAGTTTTGATGGGATTAGTATAAAATCATTCTTTTGACTTAAGTTCTTAATCTTTTTAAAATGCTTTTTAATATAAATCTTTGATCAACCCAGTCTTTTGACATTCCCAGCTGTATGTTTCTGATTCTGTGCAGGGTCATAAGACACAAAGTATGTAATCAACTCTTTTATTGTTTTCCTAGTTTGTAATTTCAAATCTGGTTGACCATGCTGGCAAAAGGGGTTGAGAAGTCCAGATTCCTGTACTAGGGGTGGTATTGGAGAATGTTGCATTTTTCCAGTGCTTTATAGCAGATTATAAAACCTTTTCAGTTTCATTTAGTGACTGGGTCTACTTTAGCATCACAAAACTTGGAAATGAAAAAAATACAGGCTAAAGAATAGTCTGGCCTATGTGATTTCTGTTTTGTCTCCAGAAAATTATTACTGATAATTTATTACAGTATTCTACCAGTGCTGATGAAAGGGTAGAAAGCTGCAGTACTGCTGGTAGCTCAATCTTTATAATTTTTGTCTTCAAATAATAAAACTTTCACAAAAAATTGAGTTTAAAGCTAAATTGTATAGAAGGCAAGCTATAGTTAAGCTCTTACAGGAACAAGTTGCATAGCATATAAGCCTTGAACAATAGGAATAAGACCTAATATTCTAGTAGTTTCATTTTTCCAGTGTAAAAATCTGTATCATCTTTGGAAGTGGTAAAGGGAAAATAAGCTGCATGAGGTTTCACTTAGTGTTTGTTAACAAAGCCAGCACAACTTCATTGCTGCTTTCCACCCTTTCTTTTGCTTGTATTACATTAGAACCAGAAAAGCTAGTTTATTTAAGTACACAAGCATGTTGAATTTAGTCGCTTCTACTAAATGTGTATCAGGAAGAGTAACTTGTAGCATTTTGTGGCAGCAGCGGAGGTGAGGGTTAATTGCTTAGCAAAATAGAATTTCCCTTTCTGAATGTCCCAACAGGAGCGACACCACGATGCGTGGCTAGTCTTGAGACAGACAGGTTGAGAAACTAGTGGAACGATTACAGGAGTGTTGGAAAGAGAAGGAAGATCCTTGCTGAGCCACGAGTGTGTGAGGGGAGTCTGTGTGGACACTGAGCTGAATGGGGCTCTGAAGGCAGATTAGCTCAGATGAGCTATGACCAGAACAATTTAAAACTCAAAAATTTTACTGGAATAAAAACTAGAATCTTAATTTGGAACTCAAAGCAAATAGGTCAGAAGGAATAGATAATGAAGATGTGCACATAACTCCCCCCACCCCCATCTTTGCAGGGATGTCTTTGGTTATCATTAATTCAGTGATTTTTGTGTTGCAGAAAAGCTGAGTTGACTGCCCAAGTCTCAAAAATGTTTCCTCCAGCTCCTCTGAGGCCTGCCTGGCTGCTTTCTGCTTTTCCTTGCAGTTTTGGAGAGGCTTCTAGCACTGTGCCACGCTCTGTGTCTTCCTTTCTCCTCTAGACTGGCTCAGTAGCTCCCTAAGGGAAGGATCAGTCTTCTCCCAAGGGCTTCCTACCTCCATCCCATGTTTTTTAATACAACTGTGAGTAGAAGCGTATTAGAAAGGGGGAGGGGGCTGGAGGCACCCTAGTAGTTGTGGAGAGGAGATACCTATAGGCTTAGATGGGTCTGCTAGAAGCATCTTTAAGGCTAAACTTGTTCCATGCATGTCATGGCAGCTGCACTGGAAGGGTGAAGTATGCTTCTTCCCAGGAGCTGCTGCTGAGCAGCCTTCTCAAGGGGTGGAAATGAGGCTTCTGAGAAAAATTAAAAATAGCTCTGTTGCATTACACATCTCAGTGTTGTAAAAGATGTCCTGGCAGATTAGTGATAGGCATTGACTTTGGAATGAAGAGAAGTAGAAAGGGATGCAGAAGGTAGTAGTAACCAAGGAACCCTTACAAGGTGGTTGGATTTAGCTACCAGCCAGTAGCTCTGTGGGAATAATGTTACACCACTCTCGTACCTTTACTCAGTGGCACTATTGAGCTGAAAGTCTGCATTCATATGCCTGGTGCTGATTTCTTATCATAATGTCTTGTTTTCACAGCAGCTGTCTTTTGAGTTGCATATGGAAATCATTTCATTCATGTTAGTCTAATTGAAATATACTTGATCTTAGGGTAACGATGATCAGCAGCTGATGGAGTTGCTGCATAAGTTACACTTCTGCTGAACTGTAGCAGCATTCAGGGCCGCGCTCTGCCTGTAATTTTACCAGGACTTTATCTGAGAGCAAAATGGCTTTAGTTCTTCGCAATGTAGCCATTGACTGCAGCACCCTGAACTGTACGTATAGATCTTTTTGGTGCTGTGCTGTTCACTGCAGCACCAAATTCTCCAAATTTCAGCAGTGCATCAGAACTAGAAACAATTGTAGGTGAAGGTGTGGATGGCAGCTTTCTTCATATAGCTACACTCGAGTTATGCGTTGCAAGCTGTAAGCATGTCCTGTTCTGAGATCTGTGTGCTTCGTGGAGCTACAACAGGCTTTATCCACGCTTCAGCTGATGAGCAGCGTTTCGCAGATGCTCACGTTATGACTAGGACTGCAGGGATTGTTCAGGTCTGATGAAATCTGTCCTTGGCATACCAGGAAGAGCCATACTATGCCGTGATCATATTATCGGTTGTTTGCCTTGCTCATGGGCACAGCAGAAGGCAGCGTGTCCCAGGATGGTAGGTGATGGAATTGGAAGTAAAGACTTCCTCTAGATCAAGGGGACCTGTGGATCACTAATTATGTTTAATACAGTTGCAGGTTTTTCCCAAGATGAAATTCTTACCAGGAATATTTTTAAAAAGCTTCAGCAAACAAATGGGAGTCATTAATTTTGTCTGCATCAAAGCAGATTTGTGTTCATGCAGTGGGCTGTTCTAGCGCTACAAGCCTCTGCACTGAACTAACAGTTCTCCTCACCCAGTCTGTGGTGACTCCTCCACTGTTTCCCTTCCCCTGGCTCTGTCACACTCTGCTTCCAGTACCGATGATGGTGATGTCTTTGCTGGGTCTATTCTAGGCTTCTAGAATAGTCTGAAAAAGCTGCCATCTGTCTCTGTCCCTTTTTAAATATTAACTTTATGAGGCTCTTGAAGCTACTTTGATTGCGGAGTGCTTTGATGTGTATGTGAAGTGTCAAGAGACTAGAGACTGTTACTTTTAATATACCTGTTAATGCAGTACCTCTCCAGATGAGTCTGTTTTCCCTCTGATTTGAAGCAGTGATACCGTATATAGCAACGCTGCGTGTTAACATCTGTTCAAACAAACGGTTGCTTCTGTCCTCACCACAGTATTCATCCAAGGCAAAAAGCTGTTGTGGATTCTTGCTTCATAACCCTAAAATTTTGTGCAGTGATGACAACAGTGTCCAGACAGTGACTTGATAGCAGCTCGCATGCCCATGTGCTAAAGCAGCTTTCTTAGGGGATAGACAGGGTAAGGTAGGAGCGCTCTCTTTGAGGCTCCATTTCAAATTGCACTTGGCAGTATTGTAATGGAAACTGCAGGTACGCTTTACACTGTTTATTTAGACACTCTGCATTAGTTTGGCTTTGCTGTTTGAATTACTCCTTTTTTTTAAAAAAGGGTGCTTTGATTTACTAGGTGGGCTGAAACCTCTGGTTTCAGATATTTCAGCCCACTTACTCAAGATAACACTCACGTTGTGGAGACTTGACAGGGCAATGAGCATTGGCGGGGAGGAGGAAAGTTGGCGAACTTCAGCTTCTGGGAGACCCTGTACAAAACCCAGAAGGCATTGGCAGGAGACTGCACAGCAGGATCGAGAACATTCAACTTCGCAGCTTCGGGAAGCTGTTGGACAATTTAGAGGCTGACGAAGAGGTCACTGCAGTGTTAGCTATTTCCCTGCTCATCACTGCAATGAAAGATGAAGCTTCTTAGGACTGTTAGTATCTGGGAAAACCACCTCAACCAGAGGACAACACAAACTTTACTCAGTATATCAGTACTGTCCGGTAATTGTGTCGTGAGTGCAACACTAAGGCCAAAGTGAAGCTCCGAAGGCAGGTTTGTGTGCTCTGGTTGGTACATGTAGTGCTCGGTAGTACATTATTCCTACAAGAGCTGTGACACTGTTTGCTTTTGCAGTTGCATAATACAAACACTGAGTAAGATTTCTCAGCTCACAGTGCGTTGGCATTTCATGAATCTGAGGAAGAGAAGGAATGCTCATCGCTTTCAAGGACTGAATGTACTTCCTGACTGAGGACTAGATAGGCTGGTAGCAACATGGTGAGCTTCTAGCTAAATTCTCGTTATGTAGGCTTAGTATATTTGTAAGTTAGGCTGTGTGTGGTTTAGCCCGCAAAGAATTTTTTTTAATCCAGATCATTTACCTCATGGTATTTACATTTAGGAAATTGATTTTGCTAAACTGCTTGAAAACTGAGGAGAATATCCTATAATAAGTTCAAAGTTAGCTTTGATGCTAATTGTATTTAAGTGTCTCGTATTACCACAAATTATGGTTGCCTCTTAGGCAAGTCTTGGAAGTCTCTTAGAAGGAAAGAGTAAGAAGGCTTTTTACATGCGTTTCTAAGTAAGTAAAGGAGAAACTGCTGCATCCTATGTGAGAATCTTCTGAAATTTGAAATTTTGAAGTAAATTTCTGAGTTTTGTTGTCTGTAATATGCTAGTTAAGAGTATGCCCACCTGATCTAGCCTTTTACTGCTCCTTTAAAGCCTATAACTGCAGTTCTTTTTCTTAGTGCCTCGGCTGACAATGGCATGGATGAAGTGACTTCTGATCCCTTCCTTGTTTATAATTCTGAAATGTGTATGTATTTCTTATTTGTTCTAGCTTTTACAAAACTGATCACAGTAAATGGCCAAGAATATCATCTTCAGCTGGTTGACACTGCTGGCCAAGTAAGTTATCTTTCTTTCTTTGACTCTTTCTTCAGAGTTAAGACAGGTATTCATACTCCTGTAGAGCTAAGCTGGTAGCAACCATGTGCTCAAAGCTGAAGTTTAACATAAATTATTCTGCCTTGTCATTTAGTCACCAAAGAGCAATGTTTCTGTAGTGTTTCTTTAAACAGTTTTGTTGGGTTTCGGTTTTGGGGGGTTTTTTTGTTCTCCTGTCTATTGAACGTATGCCTAAAAAAGCAAAGAAGGAACTGCCTTAACTCTGATGTACCAAAAGTTCATAAGTAGCTTGCTTGATATGTACGGACTGAACTAGCAGTCTTGCTTTAGATGGAAAATGTCAGTTCAATAAACCATGGAGAAGTTTTTCATGACTTTTTGCTATTTGTGTGCTCCAGCTACACCACTGTGACTTATATCCATGAAATAGTCATGGGGAGTATACAGAAATGCATATAGGTGGTACTTAACAGGCTACCAATAAACTGCTGCAGTTTGTTTACAGTTTTAAGTAAGTGATGATTCATGCACACTTCTGAGCTTCATGTAGTGACGGGGAGCACAGGAGCAGACAGTGAACACGTGTCCTGTGGCATGGGCAGTAGCTTCATAAAGTACAGGTGTTCATTATATAGTGCTGCTTGGCTGAACTTGCAGTGCATGTTCCATGCACAGGAGTGCTCTGTCCTTAGAAAGACTCTATATTAAAACCCTATATTAAAAAAAAGGGGGGGGGGGAGATCCCAGCCAGAAAAGAGACTGTTAAACCCCTGTATTTTTATCTTAAACTTTCTGTTGCTTACATGTTCTTACTTTCTGTGAGTTCTGATACTATACCTTTGGGTTTTCCTATACTTCTTGGGTTTGAGTAGTGTTAAACAATCTTAGTGTTGTAAAATATGCTGCCAGTACTTAAGACTTTAAAGCTGCAGGACACTTGCTCATAGCTGGGACACTATTCAGAAGGGTTGTAACCTTCTAGGTATGTTTGATCGCTTTCTTTGAAGAGAACTACATGACTTAAGAATAACCATGCTGTAATTACATGGTGTCAGCTTGTGGTGCTAATCAGCAACACTATATTCACTTACAATCTGTCAGAGGTGTCTGAAGTGATTAAAAACACAATACTGGTGACACGTGCTAGGGCAAGATTGTTTGATGGGGAATATTCCGCAGAGGAGAGCAGGGTTGAGATGGGCAGGCTGTGAAGTGTGAGCAGCAGAGCAAGCTCCATAGGTTTCACTTTGTGCCAAAGTCTGCTTGCCTTACATCTCCAATTGTAGCGTAGTGATAAAAGTAAAATTTCTCTTTGAGGAAGAAATGGCCGCCTGGGAAGGCAGTGTAACTTTGGTAATAGACCTCTATTGCTGAGGTTTATTTTCAGGGTTGATTTAATGTTGTACAGTATTGTAAAACCAAAATAACTTCTTTCCCAGCCTGTGGTTATTTTCAGATTTGATTCATCCTATGAATGACTTGAACTTTGAGTTCTGGCTCACAGGGTTAGAGGGGAGAGATGATGTTGGATTATAGAAGGTATGGCTTGAACAGATTTCTTTCTCAAGTCTGTCTTGCTTAATGATCCATAGGGAGTCCTTGTGTATACAGCATAGCAAGGATTATATTGTAGATTTGTTATATACTTGAAAACTTGGCTATGACTTGAAAAGTTAGAGCTACGTTGTTTCATCACTTGGCAAAGTTCTTAATTTGATCCGCAAGTTCCAGGAAGCATGGCAGCTTTTCTTCCTTCTCCTAACAAGCTAAATATGAAGTAATTAATTAGAAACAGTTGAGATTATGGCACTTATTTTTCTTGGTACTCCTTCTGTCCCATGCCTCTTTACCTTTCATGGTTATCTATTCAGATTTGCGTAGTTCAGTTAAACAGGAGTACAGGATCACAGAAGAGGAGCTGGGGCACTCCTGAGAAATTCCGGGTAAAGTCAAACAACTACAGAGTTGCACTTTCACCTGTTTTACATGCAGACTAGCTCAGATCCCTTCTGTATTGACTTTGAGATTACACGGCCAGCTGAAGTGGCAGTTCGGCATTTCAGCGAAGATGGGGGAGGGCTGCCCTCAGTGTGTAGCAAAAAAGGCAAATAAGGACATCTTTTGTCAAGTGTTATTCTTTCAGACTTTTTTGGCTGCATCTGTGAAGTTGATTTATAAAGGGTTTTTCCTCATTTGCCAGTTACGGAAGTTTGATTCCTTTTGGCTGTCTAGAGTTAAGCTGTGCGATTGCACTGCTCCATCTGTTCAGTCATGACAATGTACAGAGAGGTTATGTGATCTTAAGCTAAAATTAACATCTTAAGAAGCATAAGTTTAAAAATTTGAGAACTTGTACATTAAGAAGTATGGCTCTTGTCAAAATTGAAATGTTTCCTGGGAACATCTATTAGAACGATTTAGATTTTTAACATGGGATTCATAGTATTTGTGTTGCATTTCCTGCAATATGTAAGTCTGTTTCATTTACCTATTTCGTCAGTTCGTTTCCTACAGCGGTCATAAAGTCAGTGATTAAGTTTCTGTTGTTTTGTGGTGTGTGGGTTTCTTTTTTTTTTTAATTAAACGCTTGTCATATAATGTAAACATCTAGTTTACATAAACATAAAGCAACTAATAACTCTATTTCTTGCATCTACAGTTGATAAGCATTAGTTAGTTGGTAAGTCACAGTTACTCACTTCCTAACAGACCCCTTAGGTAATTTAGATGTGATCAGTGTCACTGGAAATTATGAACTGCTAGATCCTGTCGTCAGCTGTTGAAATTAGGAATTTGAAATGTATCGCTAGCAAGATAAGAGGCATAATTGCTAATTAGTGGTAGGACAGAGTACATGTTTTGTACTAATACAAACTGATAATTAAGCAGGATAAGAGGACTGGGAATAGCTTTAGCTGATCCATAGTCTCAGAGGGAATAAACCAAAAAAATATGTAGATTAAATTTTAGAGTACACAGACTGACTCAGCTTTCTCTTAATTTGGTAAAGATTCCACATCTGGCATTATGATGAAAAAAAATGTAATTCTGAAAGTACTACCTATACACAATGGTCCTGCACCTCATGTCTTACAAATAGACCAACTTAACTGCTGGTGATCTGCTAGCATCAAGTTCTGAACTGTGGCAGTAAGTAATTTTAAATGCAATATTCCTTCTACAGGATGAATACTCCATATTTCCTCAGACGTACTCCATAGACATCAATGGCTACATTCTTGTTTATTCAGTCACATCAATAAAAAGGTAATAAAATCTGTTGTGTTCTTCTGGTTCAGATATTAACCAGATATATTCTGGGTTCAGCTCCTACCTCTGCTATATTTTCTTTACATGTGTTTAATTCGTTGAATCTCTATCTCCCTTAGAAGTATAATGGAAATAAAAATTAATGGGTTTTCAGAAATTTCCCCTCAGATCCAAATGTCACAGATACTTTACAGACTAATATGCAAGGTACCATGTAAGAAACGAGACAGTGCTGAACTACATTATTTTGAGATGTAAGTAAAAGTACATAGAATTACTTCAAGAATAAGTAGAGTTCATTGCTCTAGCATCAGATACAAAGGCGGACTTAAATATGAACCAAAAGGGCACTTTCATTTATGTGAAGTACCCAATTAGTTGCTAGATTGGTCCCTCAGCCTTGTAGCTCATTACACTACTGCGATTGCTTTGACTTCCTGGCTTGGATTGTTCTGGTTAACCATCAGAAACTTTCAGATAAATAGCAATGTATCAATATATGACTTTTGGCCTGTAGACTCACTCTTGCCATGCTGCAGCAAATATGTTACTTGAAAAATTTCCCAGAGTATCTATTTCATCCTCGCTGTTGGCTGCAGTCAGTTCTGTCATGAGGACAGAGTCCGTTGTAGCTGGAGTCATTTACTTGCAAGAAGCATCTCAGCGTTCATAAGGTTTTGTCATCTTCCGTTATTTTGTCCCTTCCATCTGGTTGTCTTGCTTTGTTTAAATGCTGGTCGTTCTTGAATAGATCTTAATTTTCTAGTATTGTACAGCATCTTTGTTATGACAGCCACAATAATCCTATTTTTTAAAACTTTTGTTTGTTTGAGTAAAATGATTAAGACCTTAGGCCTTTTACTCTCTCCAAGTAGAAGAGAAGTTGATGCTTCCCTTCTACTTGCAAGGAAGCTGATCAGCTTCTTACAAGTGCTGAAGCATTCCATGTCTTTTCTTCTGAAGCAGACAAAACCGGTCATCTCAAGTGCTCTTTAGCAGGCCATCACAAAATACGGGTAAAACAACTTGCCTGTTGGCTCTTCTGTGCTTCTCAAAGAAAGGATACGGTCTGGCTATAAATTTCTGTTGCTTGCAAGGTCTTTAATGTTGAACAGGTTTTGGCAGTCCATCATTCTTGGTTTTCATCTTTAGTTCTGAAGTAGTGAACGGCAAGCACGTCATGTGGAGGAGATGCAACAGATGTTAGGCTTTCATGTGTATCTAGAGGTACCAAGCTACCTAACTCCTTTTTGTTAGGCTTTCATGTGTATCTAGAGGTACTAAGCTACCTAACTCCTTTTTTTTAATCAGAGCTTCGTTGTTGGTGATGAATAACTTCTATGAAATAGGAGTTAGTCTTCTCAGCCTTAAGTGGACAATCCTCCACTTCTAAAGTGAAGAGAAGAATGTTCATTGAGAAGTGGTACTGTGAGGGCAAAAATGTCTTTGACTAAAATAAGCATAGATCCTTGGAGGCTTCTGCAGCTTGTGCTGTTCCCTGGTTGGCAGCTAAAGGACATGCTCTTTTTCAGCTACTCCCGTTGTTGCCTCCTGGTGTCTTGAGCTTAGCAGCCCAGATAAAGAAATGAAAATCTGTTTTCTGTGGTAGCATTTCATCAGTTAAAACGGAAACCAAATTATGGTGAACATACTAATAGAACAAGGTATGTTAAGACTGTAGGTAGATAGTATTTTCATCAGTATTTTAGTCTTGATCTGTTTATTCCAAGTTTTTTGTTTCTTCCTTTAAATTTTAAAGCATCAATGATCCTGTCTTGTTCAATTCCTTATGGTCTGTATCAAGACAGTGTTAGGCAATAGGAAAGATCTTCCACAATACTCTGGTAGCTTAAGAGGACTTGCCCAGGCAATCAAATTACGGTCACCATCTGTTTTGACTTCTATCAAAGTGTGTATATTGATCTGAGTATTGATCCAGCAGGGTTGAGAGCTTTGACAGCAAACTTAATAGAAATGCCTTTTTAAAATTACTGTCTTCCCTGCTAACCTCCAGTGGGAAGTTTAAATGGGACTTGAGTAAAAGCTAACGCCCTACATTTTTCATATTCCCAGGCTCTCGGCAGCAAGGTTACTGTGGAAGGCTTTTGCTCTAGTTCAGCTTAATTAAATTCCAATTTTGTATCTTGCTAGGTTCCATGGTTTTGTGTAACACATTTATCTGGCAGCTAGTAATTTTTTTTGTTGCATTTCACACATTGAGATGTTTGCTGTAACCCTATTTGCTTGTCACAACTGGAAAGGACCTCTTATGGTCTCCAGATCTCTTGCTGTTTCACGATTTGATAATGTTCTTTTTGGATTGGTCAATATTTGTCTTAAACTCTGCCTCTGCTCCTTCTAGCCTTATTAATTTGTAAAGCTTTCTAGAATATTAAATTGATCTGGTCAAGCCAATTTCATTCTTGGCAGTTCTTAGCAACTTGTTTCTGTATCAGAATTGTGTGTGAATTTAAATAGCACTTCTTTTGGTTTCCACCTTGATCTATTAACAAAGATCAGCTGTTTAGCCTTTTTACTAAAAACAGAGCTTGTGAACTATACTAGATAAGCAGATACACAGAACTGGGAAGTGAAGAGCCTGAGTTGAACAAGAATGCTTTGCAGCATTGTGCACTGGAACCTCAGGTGAAGGCTCGCTGGGGTGCTGTGCCATGCCATGGTGTGGCTTTTTCTAGCTGTTCTGGGAACAGCAGGCCTAATAGTGGAAAGGAAACAGTGATTGTATTGTGTTAGTGATTCAGTTATCCTGTGGCTAGTACGCTAGATCTTTCCTGTTGCTTCAGACTGAGAAACAGTTTTGTGGTCTGTAGCAGAATTTTTTTCGTAGTATTTTTATTCCTCTTTCAGTTTGCAGGGTCACCTAGTTCTATATGTAGCAATGCCTCTCAACTTTGTCACAACCAACCTCCATTTAACTCTTATTTTTAAAATAATGCTAAGAATGAAAGTCCGAGATGAGTTCTCGAGACCAGAATTTCACTAATATCTTTTCAGCATAAGCTCTTTGTAACCCTAAAGTCCTTTCATTAATTCCACATTTTCATGTAATCTGTAGTATCATACTTGAGTTACTAATAGTAAGTTGTGCCTTTTGTCATGCTTAGGTCACGCTTTTGTTTGCAAAGAACTCATTTTCTTGATAGGATATACTAAAGCTATTAGCTGAACATGGAGAAGTATTGTGTTCTACTCAGTCTCAAAAATTATTGCTGAAGTCAGACAAATTGACAGAAAATCCTTTTTAAATATGGTAGCGTTTATTGTTCCAAAAGTGAGAAGTTTTAGTGATTCAAATAGCTTGAATAGTGTTTTTAGGCACCAGTTCTTTGAGAGCTCTGAGTTGGAAGTGTGTTTGAGTGCTGCTCTATTTTTAAGAGTTTCAATTCTAATTGAAATGCAGTGCAAGTCAAGACACTGCCTGTAGCTAACAACCTTGGAAGTTGGAAAAGTTTCGGTCACTTTTTTGTGGTATAGTTGTGTGTCTCGTCTGTGAACCTGTGCCTCCTCTTAAAACAAATCTGCATTATGCACTTCATGTACCAGCATTTTTTCCATACTGTAATTAGAGGAGCACAACATCTGCGCTTCAACCCCGTTTATAGCTTGTTCTCAGAAGTACTAAATGTCAAATGCAGTGGATTTTGTTAGTGAGGTTTTTGGCGGCTTGGTATTTCACAGTACTGCTTCTTCTCTCCTGTAATCCAAACGTCACATACATGGTAGGTGAACAGACAAGTGTTTGAATAACCACTGTTTCTATACCATCTTGCAGATCAATTTACTCACTTTCCACAGAAAATTAGAATTCAGGCTTCTTTTGGCTTTCCCCATAAATAAAATTAAATAATTCTATATGAACTAAGTGTTCTTAAAATATAATGTACTCTTTCAAGTCAGAGTGTGCTTAACTAAATACTTTTTCTTTGAAACTGCTTTAATTTGACATGCTCATCCAGAGCTGTTGGACCGTAGCAGTTAAATACCTTGCTGCAGATACAAGCCAGATGGGAGGTGGGAGGGGCTTTTAGTGATCCTGTGTGAGCTGCATCAGTCCTGGGTAATGTTCTTTATTTCTGCAAGTATCATAACCGGGGAGGCTATAATGGTAGGCATAGGCTAGTCTTTGCTGTCTCTAGGACCATTTTGTTGTACGCAAATCGGTAAGACTTTCGGCATCTTTGTGGTTCTGCCACTATACATAGAGTAAGTTTTAAACACAGCAACCTACATATGCATTTAATTGCTTGTGTATTGGGTATTAAGGATAAACATTGGAGTGCATGTGTGACTTCATCCCTTTATTTTGCAGTTTTGAAGTGATAAAAGTTATCCATGGCAAGTTATTGGATATGGTGGGAAAAGTCCAGTAAGTAGTGACACTTTCATCTCATTTCATTGCAGGCATGTTACTAGTACTTTGTTCAGTATACTATAACTGTTCTGAAGTTCTGAACTTTCTTTCACAGAATACCCATTATGCTGGTTGGAAATAAAAAAGACCTGCATATGGAACGGTATGTGAACTCCAGTACGTCTAAAATGCAAGACAGCAGCCGGCATTCCTGTGGCTTCAATGCGCTAGTTTTGTTCTTGGCTTTCCGTAACTAAAATCAAATTGTAGGTTAAAATAAGGTACTGGCAAAGGAATTGTGTCCAGAATGTGAACTAGGAGCCATGAACTTTTGCTGCAGTGTTGACTCTTGTTATAAGGTTCCAGGGACGGTCACTTAACACTCCCCCACCCCCCAAAAACAAGTAACAGAAGTGTATTTTTCACAACTGTAAAATACCAGATTATATTACAGATTATGAAAACAAAGCAATACTTTGGGACAACTGTTCTTCTGGGTCACATAGCAGTTTTACCTGGCCCAGTACAAATACACTAACTTGACAGCAGCCAAAAGCAAATACTCCGGGTCGGACTTCACAAAACATTACTTTTACATGCATTTATGTGCCTCAGTACTCTGAGGACTTTCCTGATGTATCATACTCCAATTCTTTTGCAACTTATAAAGAAACATACTTTTTTTTCTTTGGTCAGGGTGATCAGCTATGAAGAAGGGAAAGCTTTAGCAGAATCCTGGAATGCAGCTTTCTTGGAATCTTCTGCTAAAGAAAATCAGGTAATGCATTTAAGATTCACTTTGTTTGAATAGCAATGTAATGGAATGACTCGTAATTTCACTTAATAAAGGAAGCAAAAATATTTGCACGTACTCTGCAATGATTAGAAACAAAATGACTGCATTCAGGTTTATGTATACACGTTTTGCCATGCAACTGTAAATGGAAGGAGGAAGTGAGGAACTGAAAGTTAAGCTTCACTGAACATAGCAGAACAGTTAGTGACAAACTAAAGCTCGAATGTGTGTGGTGGGTGGAACAGGGTCTGTGATCTGCTGTAGTTACCTTAAATAGGAGGTCATTGCGGTTGCAAAGGAGTGAGTTGGTATAAGGGGATGAACCTCACGTTTTAAGGTGCTAGGCAAGGCTTGGTCCCTCTAATGTAGGGAATAATTGTTTTGTGGGTCCATGGAGGAAAAAAAAAACCCAAACGAAAACCAACGGAAAAATGTTAGAATACAGCCGAGGCTGTCGGACATTACTGTGATACAGCTGTAGTGAAGTTGCACAATCTGACCCAATATAACCCACACACATTTACACTTGGTTTCCTATCACAGCAGGAAAGTGTTTAGTTACATGTCAAATAACATCTTATCCTTGGTTGCTCTAACTAACTTTCTTTAAAATGCCTCCTAAATACGTTCTGGTATTCAAGTTTGTTCCTGTGGCTGTTAATAATACTTTGTCATTGATTTGATACCTTGCATGTCTAAGCTACGAAAGCCTCCTAGTTCAGGCTTGAAGTAATGGGTAACTGCTGTGGACTGGGGGGGTGGTGGTGGTGTCTTTTTTTTCTTCTCTCTCTCTCTTTTTTTTCTTTATTTTTCTCTATAGGTCTCAACAGCATCAAAGCTTTTGCTTTTTGGAAGTACAGACATAGGATAAGGTCAAAAGGACGTTGTTAGGCTAGTTTCAAACAAACGAGTCCTTATGCAGAAGAAACGCTTACCTTGTCTCATATTTAACCTAGCATATCACATCCTTGGCCTCCTTGATAACATCAGCACAATCAAAAGGGCAATCCTATAGCTAGGACAGGACCTGTTCAAGCAGCCTTTCTTTCCCTCTCCCCTGTCCCCAAAGTGAAAACAAATAGCTTTTGTCCAATGTCTGTTGTCAACAATTCTACAAGTTACTTGGGTAAAGTTGGATTTTCCCTGGAAGAAAAACTTGGAATTTTTTTCCTCCAGATATGGAATACTTGGACTTAGTTTATCAGTACTTCTGTTTCTGGCTAAGACTTGCATTAACCTTGTCAAAATTGAGCATGATGAAAGCATGAAATGTCTCAATATCTTCTCTGTGTGCTGCAGAGCTTCAAATGCATACCCAAGGAAACTAAATTGACAGTGTAAAGAATAAACCAGTTAAAAGCATCTGATTTTTTTCCTCCCTTTATTTTAAACAACTTCATACTTCTGGATTAGGCAAAACTATTGCCTGTGCTCTTTTTCTTTTGGCCTAGGTTCACAATGTGTAACAGTGTAGCAATTCATATCTAGCAGAATATCTTACTGATAACTTTTCTGAAGTTTGTATTGTCCTTGGTTCAAGAAAAAAAAAAAGGTTGGGTATATTTATGCAAAGAAGCTACAAGCTTTATATGATGCTTGGCGTGTCTTGCATATTAAATTGCTGCACTAACAAAGTCCCATTGACTGCCATATATTTGTGTCTGTTCCTTAGTCTCAGACTGTATCAAGTTATGCTGCCAGCTGAAATTTATATTGCAAACTTTGTAGCCTTCGGGGAAATCAGAATGGCAATTGTATGTCAGATATTCAAAATTCGGTACAGTCCTGTACAAATCCCACAAAAAAAATCAGAAGTTGTATTCATTCTTGCTGTCAAAGTTGTTCTTCTCAGGTCTTCCTTTCAGCAGGATCCTTCAGGATGGCAATCGCAGGTCGCTGTAAGTTCTGTCCCTTTGGAGTCAGATGCAGGTTGTTAGAAACAGGTGCTTGAACACAAATTCCTCATTCATGCTTCTTACATAATACACTTGGTAAATTTGTCTGGCTTGAGAAGTTTGGGAGATCGTATGTCACTCTGAGGTGGGTGCCCACAGCATGTGACCATCTTTCAGGCTCTCTGGCATGCTTCCTTTGGAGGCTTGGGATGTACAGAAGAAAGTGTGAAGGAGCCCAAAACTGGGGCAGCTGCCTTAGTCTTCTCGCAAACAGTTGTGGAGGAATGCTCACCTCTGAAGAGGTGGAAGATTGAGCTTTGAGAGGAAAGTGTGGGGTCTAGAGCTGTGAGGTGCTAGGGGGAACAGGAGACACCGGGCATTGTAGCATCCCTTCCTGTGAGTTAGACCAGGAGCACTTCTGAACTCATGCATTCTTTCTCCTCCAAATACTGATTTGACAGGATCAAAACAGCTGATAGATAGACCTCTGTCAAGACAGGATATCTTCTCTTACTCTGAAACGGAAATAGTTCTATAGATTAACTTCAGCAAACTAGTCCTATTCTGCCAGGAGTTACCAAAAGATACCACATTCCAGAAATAGCATGACTTTGAATAGATGGAAAGCGAGAGAGGCAAAGATCAAAGCTGCAGTTAGGAGAAATGGTAGCGGCTGGCAGGAGTTCCCAAGGTCAAATATATTTGAGGCTGTGTATCAGCTCCTGCAGACAAGGGTGACCTTGTAGGGCTTTCGGAGGAGCCTGCATATCAGCAACATATCAGTCATCTGGGGAAATCCCTGGGCTTTGAGAAGGCAATTCTGAGACTTAATGGAAAAGACCTCTTTTAGATTACTGCTGGGCTATTATTGTCATATCTTCTCAAGCTGCTTAGTTACTACCAGGTATGTTGAACTGCTTTGGCTGACTTCAGGAGCTTTGAGCCTTGTGGAATTCCCTACTTTGTTTCACCTCAGCCATAGTAGAGTACTTCATCTTAATCCCAGTACAATAAAGTGGTAACTGTTTGAAATACAACCGGAATCCAAATTGGTCTTAAACCCAGTTGAAGCTGGGAGCCAACTTCTACTGGGAGAATTTAGGGAGCAACGAGCAGCCAAATTGTGTTCATCCAGTTACGCAAAATTCATTAGATAAACTTGTTTTAGAAGGGGCAAGGAAGTAGCAAAAAATCTGCTTCTCACCAAAACAGAGCTCTCTTAAAAAGCAATTGCTTGGGCATTGCTTCTTTTTCAAGAGTGACTTCATTGTCAAGCTCAGATGATGCAGTGCTCGGTACATGCTTCAGAGTGGTTTGGGTTCTTAGCCCCCCTCCAGGGGTCTGAAACGTTTACCTGGGAGAGTGTGTTTGGACTAACAAAGGATGGGGGGGAGAAAACCCCTCTTCGTTACCTGACTGTTGCTGAAGTTCCTTTGCCCGGTTCTGTGCCAAGATAACTAGTATGAGCAGTTGAGAGTTTCCTTTTTGAAATGATAAAACAGTTGCGTAGCTGAAGAATAGAGCATACCAAAGGACGAGCTGACTCTGGAGGCTGTGGGCTGGATTTGGGTGTTTGCACCTTCCTGGCATCGTGTTCCCGACTCCCTGCTTGCGCAGAGAGAATTGCACCTCCTGAGCTGTCTGTCCCGCTCACACCAAGGGGCGCATCTGCAGAAACGGTTGAGCCTCTGGTGTCTCTTGCATGGTGCTAAGCTCCCTAGGCAGCATGAGTTGCCCAGGCTGACATGTATTTTGTTTCCTCAGGGGAGAAAGGTAGAAGAAAGCCAGATGGCTTTCTGTAGGCTGGGTGTGACCCACATTTGTAATTGGACCGTATGGAGACACATGCATATAAAGTCTGGTTGCATTCTTTATTCCTTGTCACAAAACACAGCTTCCTGCGGTGTTTAAAAGCTCATTCTAAAGTACTTCTGCGTATTTGGGCTGAATTACAAATTCCTAAGGGTTAACTGTAGGACAGTGATTAAACCTTCTCAGTGAATACGTATTTTGTGTGAAATGAATTAACAAGCCCTGTGAACTCCTACATCTTAGTGTTTCAAACACTCTGTCTTTGACAGAGAATATACAGCTTCTTGGTTGACCAAATAAGTTCTAGCGGGCTTTTTTTAATAGATGCTTTGAAGCAGGGGTATAAAGAACTTCTGTGTTAAAATGAAACCATTGAAAATGTCAGCTCTAAGTAGGGAAACATTGGTGCAGTATATTTGTAAATCAGTGTATCGCCAAGTTTTGATTAAGGGAAACTCTTCATGAGTGGCACCGGTTTGATAGCAATTGCAGTCCTGACCATGGTTCTAGAGTCTAATTTCCCCAGGAAATGTGTTGTATAGTACTGGACTAACGAGCCACTTCTGTCAGAGTCAGTTGGGATTGCAGGGAAACGTCATTATATGGAGGAGTACTCCATTTCCAGCTGATGAAGTATTTTAAATAGTTCTAGAGATAGTACTGTGCACAAACGGTATAAATATGGGAAACTTTAAAATTCAGTCTAATCTTATTAAGATTGCTCTAAGGTTGTTGTGGGCCTACTTTAGTCAATGGGATTAATTTGGAAGTGATCCAATTAAGAATTATACCTTGTGGAGGCGGAAAAACATCTGTCAGATCAGAACACATAGTCATAAATCACAGGGTGCTCTTCAGCCTGCTGATTAAAACCAACAAAACCCCCTTTTTATCTTCTTTCATAATGTGACTGCTTTTATATAATGAATATACTTCCCTTCTCTAAGGAGCATATGCTTGGAATTCATGAAACGGATGGCTAGAGGTTAGATAAACTTAAAATGGCATGTCTGAGATGATCAGGAGACCATTTCCAAGTTGAAGATTCACATGCTGAAGTACTGACCATATGGTGAATCTTCAGCTTGAAAATACTGTAGAGAAGAAAAGCACTTTAGAATTGTCCTTGACTGTAGTATAGATTTATTCTTCGTAAATTATTTCTAGGCAATCTCAGATGCTGCATGTTGTAGTTGTAGTTTCTGCATATTCTGATGGAGGGTAGTGTACAATTTTGAAACCCTTAAAACTGAGTGAATCCTGAAAATACCAGATTAACAGTGTAAGGTATTTACTACAAGTAGCATTCATGATATTGTCCCAGACACCTTACCGTCCCCATCTTTCAGTATCCTTAAAATCAAACAAACAAAACCCCACCAAAAAGCTAACTACACTTAATCAAATTCTTCTGTAAAATCTCCTGAATCACTCAAGTGGTCTGACATCCTTTCTTAGTGTCTCTGCTTCAGTTAAACTTATTTTCACGGGAAATTGTGTCTTTCCATCCCAAGATTTTTAACTTGTACTCACTAGCATCTGTGTGTCTGGGGAAGCATCACTGTTCTGAGCCCATGCGCTGTTTCATCACCTGCAGTTTCAGTAGGGGAGAGCCTTTTTCACCAGACTGCTTTATGCTCAGCGTGGAGGGAGGAGACTCGGCGTGGACCAAGCGGAGTTGATAGCAGAACAAGTGACTCCTGCTCTGAGAGTACTTACTGCATTCCCTCCGAAGGGGTGATGGGATCCATAGTGCTTGTGTGGCTCGCGATTTTGCGGAGGACTCTGTTTTAATCCTGTATGTTCCATACAGTAAGCTAGGATGTTTGTGTGAGCCTGACCACCTTCAAGCTGTTGAAAATAGAAAACCCCTTTCTCTCAGGAGGACTTTATCAAAGGATACTGCTTCGTATTAGACAGGGGCTAGTTTGGCTCGTGTTTTCCCCTCGTGTTCTTGCACCCTGTCTAATACTGGTCTTACCTATAGGTAAGATGAGAAAATCAAGAAAATTGAAGTAACCCTCATTCTGGGCTGTGCAAAGTCAGTGTTTAGAGCTGAAAAATCTGCTGCTTTCTGTAATTACTTGGAATCTTAAAGATTACTTAGAGGAAATGAGTTGGTTTATTCTCTGGAGCAGCACAGCATCAAAATCTTCAATGCTGTCAGTCGCTCAGCACAAGCTTACTATTTAAAATAAAGCTGAATTACAGTTACTAGCTCTGTCGTGAGTATGGCTCAGTTTAAACTTGCCCTCCCTGCACTGATAAGAGAATATAGTTGAGGATTGCCGTGGAGAAGGGGGTTACACTTTTCTTCCAAAAGGTTGTGTTCAAAACTGAAACTACCATGTTTTCCCTCTTTGATTTTGGAGTAAGTGTTGGACATGCAGTTATCTGTTGGTGTAGCCAGTAAAACTGCTAACATGTTTTTATTATTATTTTTTCAGTAAGTGGGCAGTTTCTTCTTACCTACTAATCTTGTACTCTCTCTTTGCAGACTGCCGTTGATGTTTTTAAGAGGATAATTTTGGAGGCAGAAAAAATCGATGGGGCAGCTTCACAAGGGAAGTCTTCATGCTCAGTAATGTAATTCCACTGCAAAACCTGAAAACACTGGGAATACATTCTACCTGAAGAAGCAAAACTGCCCATTATCTTTAAGGACACTGCAAAACCTGAAAACACTTACATTACATTCTACCTGAAGAAGCAAAACTGCCCATTATCTTTAAGGATAAACTATGCTTCTCCTTTTTTTTTTTTTATTTTTTTTCTTCTGTTAACCTGAAAGATAAACAGTTGGTTTGGAGCCTTTCCCTTCAGATTATGTTAAACTCTGACTCCTGTGCAAATGGCTTCACTTCCATTTTCAAATTTTAAGCAATCATATTTTCAATTTATATATTGTATTTCTTAATATTATGACCAAGAATTTTACTGGCATTAATTTTTCAGTGTAGTTTGTTGGTTAGAATAATCATCCAAATGATGCATATTGTTACACTACTATTAACTAGGCTTGGATATCAGTGTTTCTTTGTGTTAAATGTATACTTGTAAATAAAATAGCTGCAAACCTTAAACGTTCTGTTTATAATGTTTTGTTGATTACGCCATATCAACTTTTTTTGTGTGAAAAACGTTCACCTGCTGACCTTAAGAGGAGGCGTGAGATCCTTGGAGCCAACGGATTGTTTGACTGTTGCTTGGGAGGTTGGTTGTGAGCGATCCGCACCGTTTTTGCTGCTAGAACTCCAGGCTGGCCGAGTAGCTCAGCTGTGCTTTGCGCCCGTTCATGGGAAGGAGGCACAAGGGACACCTTTCATTTGGAGGGGGAGGCTTGGGTTTTCAGTCAGACAACCTGCACTGTATTTTTCCTCTGTAACTAAGAGTTATGGAGTAAAGGGTACGCAGATCTGTCCCAGTAACGGGCCAGTATACACCTGCGCCACAGGCTGTTCACGTAGGCTTGTAACGAGGAACGCTTTCGGGATGGAGTGGATTTATCCAGGTCACAAGCATAGACTTGCTAAGAAAACAAAAATGTCATTTAAAATAAATTGCACGTCCCGAACAAGCTGATGTGGATAGCTTATCATGCATTTTTGTACTTCTGCATCCAGACAGCGCTGGTGGAGGTGAGTGGTGTCCTGGCACCTGGGCGTTCACAACGTCAGGGTCTCAGTGCAGCTCTGGCAGCTTCCCCTAACCAGCTGCAAGTTTTTGCTTGGCTTTTGGACTAGAGGCTTAACAGGCCTTAATCTCTTATGTCTGGAAACAAACTATTTCAACTGCATATTTAAAAAAATGTGCAGTTGACCTACTTTGTATTTAAAAATGAAACAAACCCCAGAACAACAGCAACAAAAGCGAACGAGGCTGATTTGGGGAACAGTTAATTAAATGAAGTGCTTCTCATGCATTTTTGTGTCCATTTGAAAAATTGATTTCTGGCAGGAGTAAAATGGAAGGGAAACTTGCAATGTTTTTGCAACCAGAATTAGCTTTTGCATTTCAGTCTGTGCTAAAAGATACAAATTCAGCATGTCTCATCTCTTCACTTCTTGGTTCCCTCACAATATACAGAAGATTGTCTAAACCCCTCAATTAACAGTGTACGTAGACAAACTTAATATTTTCTTTGGTCACCATGAGATTAACTAGCTTGTTGGCAAAAAAGTTGCCTTTTTTCCTCCATTTAGGGTATTTCCCAAAGTTTCTGAAAGCTTGTTTGTTACCTGAATTTTGATACCTTGTGCCAAATAGAGTTTCTGTAGCTGGATGATGGTCACACGCGATACATCACTGAAGTTCAGCAAAGAGTGCTAGTTCTGGGAAACATATACACGCTTTCATTTTGGAACCAGACCGATCTGGGGCTGTGCAGTAGGTTTCCTTCACGAGAACCTGCAACACTGGAATGAGGGTAGTTTGGCCGATAATGAGTTGCTGAGGATTCAGAAAATGTTCTTCTGTGGAACTTGGGGCAATATGCACCTGTTTGGTAGTACCCTTCATTGCCTAATCATGAGGTGGCAGGTGACTTGTTGCGTGGCCAGAGTCTTTGGCGTTGCACCACGGACACAATGTCACATAGTCTACATCAAAAGGTAGAAGTTGTGGATTACCAGAAACCTCAAAGACCACATTTGCTCAATTTTTTTGTAAAACAGTGGCGACGTGTGTACTGGTGATCAATCTAAAGCCTGAAATAGCTGCTGCATTGGCACTTGAAGCGTGCCAGCTGCTGAGGCTTTAAAGGGGGTGGATGAGGAAATGTACAACTTGATAGTCCTGGGATAATCAAGGCCCTGCCTTCCAGAGGTGAGGCTTTTCAGGAGGGCTTAAAGGCAAGTGCAGGTTCTCTGGATGATTTGCAATGGGAACTTCCAAGAACTCAGGTACTCGGCACTGAGAAGCACGTACTGCTCTTGCATTTTCTGTAATGGGTAAAGAATTGAATTCGTCAATATAGGTTGTTTCCGTTCTCCTGTTGCTGGCTCATCCAGTAAGAAATGTAAATTATTCCACTTGTCCAAGCCTTTCTCTGCTAATAAGATCTAAAGACCAGCCATGTGCAATAGTCTTGCAGTTTTAATGAAATGTGTAGTCAAGCGTGGTCAGTGAACTACTTGTCCTTTGCTGTACAGAGATTTCAGCTGGCTTCTCGGGATGGCACCTTCCAGCAGTTGGAGCCTCATAGAGCCTGGGGCGGCCTCGTGCTTCCTTATACTGACTTAAGAACTGGCACGGGTTAGGTTCTTCACCATGAGAGCCCTAAAATGGGGTGGTGGGCGGTCCTGGAAGCCGTGTGTTATGTACAGAAGCAAGAGATCGGTATCTAGCAAACTGCTGCTTGCCCAGAATTGATGAATTTATACAGCCTTGTCTGGCAGCTGCCCTGATCTTTTGGAGGCTTCTGGAGGATTGTGATAAATGGTGCACGGATTAAAAGGTAAGTCATGAAGGAAGTAAGTTCTCTGGCCCAGGCTAGAAAAAATTTGATACACGCTTAATAGGGCCCAGCCTTATTCTTAAGGGATGATCATTGGCAAAGGTGAAAGTGCAAAGATCCTTTTCCTGTTGAGGAAATGAGCAAAATTTAACTACCGTAAGTCAAGTTAAATTCCCATTGACTTGTGTGGATTTAAAACGTGCTGTTCTGGAAATAACTCCTGCTTTGCTTGTGCTCCTCTCCAACTCCTTGCTTTGCTGCATGAATACCGAGAAACCTCTCGGTATCGTGAGCCCAAGAGACTGAGCTGCCCATCTCCCAGCCTGCCATGCATGGAAATGCTGAGGACGAGGAAAGCGGTGGGGCAGGTGCAGCTGCAGCGGCGGATGGACTGCAGGCAGAAAGTGGATACGTGATCCTTCTTTTTCCTGTTGTTCTTGTTTCTGTGCATAGCAAAGTTTATCCCTGCCTGATTAACTCCACAACGGGGAAGGCTTGGAGGCCGTCTGCTTTGGGTCTGTGGAGTCTTCTGCCTAATGCTTCTTCCCAGCTTCTGTCAAGGGTTGGTGAATGCACGCTGGAGAAGAAAAAAGCTGGAAAAGTGTTTTTACTGCTCCCTTGTGTCTGCAGTAGCTGTACTGTAGTATCTGGACTAGGCAGCCTTAGGTCGCTCAACCAAGGGCCGAGGAGCGTGGGCTGAAATTGGACTTTGCTGAGGAAGTTCTTGCAGCATTGGAGGCAGTGGTGAAGACTTCAGGCTTTCCATTTTCTAGTTTCTTTGAACAGAGAAGTTTCTATGTCCAAACTTGCACCCTGGAAGTGATCAAGGACAACTTTTGCAGTTACCCTTGTTTCTGGCACGGGTGACCGTAAAACATCCAGCTGGGTCTATCCCAGCTTGCAGCAGTTTCCTTTGAAGTGCAAGACGGGCAGCAGCCCGAAATGAGAAGGGTAGCCTATGTCATGGTATGTATTTTTGTGTTTTCACCTTCTTTAAAAGAAATGTGCAATCTTACACCTTTGTTGCTGAATAATTCGTGTTGCTGCTCTGTGCAGATGTCGCAGGCTGCTGAGCAGCACAGTAGAGCGCGGTGCAGGTGGTGACGATGCACCCGGGCTTGCTGGGCTTATCCTGCTAATTAGCACTGCTGTGCTTTAGCCTCTCGAGAAGGAGAAATCAACAGGTTCTAATTAGTCCTTATGTAATCAGTACTGCTCATCTTCAAACCATTTTGCTAATACTGACTAATCTTCACAACCTCAATAAGGTCAAAATTACTCCCCTTTGACAGCTGGGGAGGGGGCAATAAGGTCAAAATTACTCCCCTTTGACATCTGGGGAGGGGGATCATAGAATCATAGTGTGAACCTTTGCACAAATGCCTTCAACTCACTACGGGCACAGCGGAAACGTGGCTAAACTCGGTTTGGGTGATGAGTGTCCTCAGCATCCAGCTGCTTCTTAGGTGTCCTATTTCCCTACTGGAACCTTTCCTTTTTGAAATAAGATGAAAACTGAAAGGATTTCACCCAAAACCCTGGGCTTTCTGATGTTTTCCAAAATGAAATACAAGTTCCATCCTCAGTCAGAGGCTTACCAAGATGCGCGATGAGCTGCACTAATACTGGAAAGCTGCCTGTCGGAAAAGGACCTGGGGGTGCTGGTTGACAGCCGGCTGAACATGAGCCGGCAGTGTGCCCAGGGGCCAAGAAGGGCCAATGGCATCCTGGCCTGTATCAGAAATAGTGTGGCCAGCAGGAGTAGGGAAGTGATCGTGCCCCTGTACTCGGC